GCGCACGCACACGCGCGTTCTAAAAACACTTGAATTTATTCAAGTGTTACCTTAAAGTCACCATGTTAAAACAGCACAGCACCTTCGTACTCAACAGCTGTGGCTCCCTTTATTTATATAAAGATGACTCATGACACACTGACAAAAAAAATTAATACAGTAATCAAGTGTGCGCATCACATTTAAACATGCTGAAAACACATGGGAAACACACTGCCTATAACAATTAATCGTGCCTTGATAACACTAAATTGGTTCTATTTGCAAATGCACACTGAAATAATCATTTTTATTAATAATCACACTTATCTGAAAGGCTTTTCTAAGAGACATTGCTATAATATAGTGCAGTTCAATAAACAAAGGTATGTCTAGTGGTGACTATCTGGAAAAATACCCTTCGATCAGCTTTTTAGAAAGCAGTATTTTTCTCCAACCATCTCTTACCCATTTATTTTTACACAATAACATTTAAATTAATGAAGCAACATATTTTTATTTTAAATTTAGAAACAAGTAAAAACCATTCTGGGATTACGAACACCTACATTAACAGGTAACAGGCCAAATTCTGAATACCATTCTTAGCCATCTTTAAAATCAAAACTCTCTTTTAAAAGGAGGATGATGACCTCATGGTTATGGCACCAGAAGTCAAGCTGCAGCCTTGAACCTGGGGCCTTGGCCTGCCACCTCATGGTTAGCCACTCAGCCTGGTCAAAGCTAGCGTGAAACCTCCATTAGTGCCTAACCCTCCACCTACTGCTTGTCACTGGAGTGGCCAGGCAGGGTCAGCTGACCCATCCACTTCCAGAATATAAACCCCAGACAATGACTAGGAAGTGTCCAGGCAACAGAGCAACCTGACCCAAGACTGCTTCCCTGCTCACTCTGGCTTACTCTTTGACTTCACTCTCTATTTGATTTCCCAGCTTCTTGACTTGACATGCCCCCTAGACTTTGTTCTCTGTTTGATCTCCTGGCTTCTTGCCTTGGCTTGTCCATGGACTTTGCTCATACCTGGACTTTGCTCTTGGACTGACCTTCTGGCTTCCTGACCCAGTTCAACTTCAGATTCTATTTACCCATCCTGGTCCTGGCTGGTGCCTCAATCTCCAAGTAGCTGCAAATCTGGCCAGCCATGTCCTGGCATAACACCAGACTTGGACTTTTGAGATGTAGGTCCAACCTAACATGGAATTCTTGGATTACTTAATCTCTTAGTGCTTTAGTTCTCCATCTCTGAAATGGCAAGCAATAGTGCTTCCCAACCTCACAAAAATACTGTAAAAATAAACTCGGTGTTTACAAGGTGTAAACTACAGTGACAGGGGGCAGACAAAGTCAGGCATCAAATGATTAATGACTCCAAGACTGTCCATTTTGCCTGTTATAAGTGACAGCCTGACTGCACAGATAGTTTCATCATACCAGCATCAATATCTTTTCGGGGCAGAGGGAGGAAGGTATACATACAACTTACTCTCATTGGATGTATGTCAGCATATGGAGGTTTTCCTTCAGCCATTTCTATTGAAGTGATACCAAGAGACCAGATGTCTGCCACACAGTTATAACCAATTTCTTGTATTACCTCAGGAGCCATCCAAAATGGAGTTCCTATAACAGTATTTCGTTTTGCCATTGTATCCTGTAATTACATGTGTACAATTAAAATGCAGGCATTTAACTGCAGAGATATGAACCACATTTGTTCCATATAATGAAAATGCAGTTGCAGTCTTATAAGCACTATACAGACCCTCTCCCAAGTCTTCAAACAAATACATGTCCTCAAAACTTGCAGGTAACACCTGTGATTGAGGAAGCCCTTTTCTTCCAAATATGAAGTAAAGCGGGTAAGAGTCCTTCACTTTTGACTAACAAAGAAGGTTCCCAAGATGTCAGCATCCCAATTTCTGTTTCATGTGATTGTTTTATTTATTTTCTTTCTAAATTTTTGCTCCAAGAATTTTTACTCATAATTTACTGATCTGTACCCTCAACCACTTTATATCAAAGACTTCTATAAATTCAACACTTTATCACAGGATAAGATAGAACATCTTTGGGTATGGACAGCCATACTTTTCAGCTGTAAACAGACATCTCATTTGAAGTGGTCCTCATTGTCCCAGGCTCTAACCCAGATCAAAACAGGAGCAGTACAGTCACTTACACAAACAGCCCTTCCAAGCTGCATGGCTGCTCCTCTGCCAGTAGGTGGCCAGCAAGAGCTCACAGCCTTAGGACTTGTCTTTGGAATGACTTACAATTAGCTTGAACCACCTCCAATTAATTTATATACACACAGCATACAAACAACAATGTCCCAGAGAAAAACTGTTATCACATTTTATCTTGTGTATTCACATAAGTATTAAAAGCAAGGCAATGGACCTGTATGTCTGTAGGATCCTGGGACAAAAGGCTTTCTTCCCAGAGAAATGCAACATCTGTATACAGCCTTGGAGCTGATTTAAAAGAAGAGAAGGGGCTCTTGCTCCTAGCTGAACTGCAGGAGTATCTGCTACTAGTGCAGTGCGAAGGTTCAGGTGCTGATTTGATTCACAGGAGATTCAGCCTGATTCGGCAGTCAAATCTCCGAATCAAATCAGGAGACCAATTAAAAGGTCCGAATCAATTCGGAAACGATTCGGAGAACTTCAGAAATTTGGGCAGTCCCCACTTGCTGATGCAGGGAGCTGGACCCGGACTCCATGCTGGTAAGTAGGGGCAAGGAAGGGGGGGGGGGAAGGGACCATGGGGGAACCCCCACCAGGCCCCATCCCCTGCCTGCTCCCCCAGCCCCCCCAAGCACC